AGAAGAGAAGCAGAGAACTGCGTCAATCCATTACATTAACAGACCATTTATAAGTTCAAATAAAATATCAAAGTAAAATTTATGTGTCTGTCTATAAAGTTAAAGTGAAAAACACGATCGTTTAAAGTTAACGCAATCAATAAATGGCAAATTTCGAAATTTCAAATAAATGAGGAGATTTCTTGTCAATATTAGTGCATTAGTAGATAGGTGAATATAGACCAATATATATATATATATAATATATTTTTTGAAAATGCGATTATATATATATATAATATATATATATTTTTGAAAGTGCGGTTATATTTTTCAGATGACAGAACGGAAATAATGACTCGTGAAACTAAAATTTAATATTAATTAGAAGGATTTAGTATAAATGAATAAATGCGTTATTGACAAAAGTTTATCGCCAAAAATCTATTTTCTATAATTATTCGTCTAAAATTTAACAGATTATAAAAGAACATCTCATAATATATACATCCATACATATATGTTTGCACGATCATAGAAACTTTCAAACCCACAAATCCAGAGAAATATCGCATTCCTATTTTTATTTATTTATTTCCGTTTACTCTTTTTCTTTCTCTCTCTCTCTCTCTTTCTCTCTCTCTCTCTCTCTCTCTCTCTCAGACTCCGATGTTCAGCGCTCTTTCTTCTAACCCCACCAACTATGTTTGGCCCCTTATTATATTTCTCTCCCTTCGTTTTGCACTGCACTACAAACAACTCGACTCCGATAAAACCCTTAAATTGGGAGAGAAGAGGAAGGAGTATAGTTGTGGAAGTTTGGGGAGGAGGAGATAGACGATCAATATGATACTTGAAGACAAGTGAAGAAAAAGGGTTTGCCCAAGAAACCAAACACGTGTAAGAACATCCTCGAACACTTCTATTTAAGAAGACTACACCAATAAAACAATTGCATCAATAACAGCGATATTCATCAAAATCAATTTTACTTGTAAGTTTTAGCTAAAAAGTAGACTTGCATCATATTTATTAAACCATTTGTTTCATACGATTGGATCATAACAGATGAATCAGGAAAAAAAGAATGGTACATAACAGGAGTTATATCCGCCAGAAGTAACTTTTTGAGAATAACTGTCCAGTTTTTGCCTTCTTTGATATGCATTGGTTTATTTAATTCTTAAATATTCTCTGTCAAACGAAAACGAAGATTCTAAAGTAAAAATAGAAATACGACTTAATTAAATATTTGGCTTTGGTTGATTTTAATGAAGAAAGTTTTGTTTTTTTTACTTTCTTAACTTGTTTGTTCGTAACTTTATGCTTCATTTTAAGTTTAAACATGCAACTAGTAGAATATTTAGAATAAGAAAATATCAATAAAACCAGTTAAAATGATGGTGTCTATAGACAATTTAAATTCTATAGTTTTAAATTATTCATGTGTTTAACATCGAGCACAGATGTCCGTACATACGTTGTTTCTACATACCTGAAAAGACAACCCGCTTCAAGCAGGAATGAATATTTTACTGTTTGCTCTATAAAAAAAAAAAAAAAAAAACAGGTGAAATAAGTCAAATAAAGCTAGAAAATGAAGGATAGTTAAAAAATAGTTAAAAAATACACCAACCATAACATTTTGCACAGTTAAATGTTTTGCAAACGCCATCGTATGAGAGCATCAGCAAAGGCAAAGACGTTTATGAAGATTTACACTAAGCAACATAGAAACAACATATATTCACATTATGTTTGATAATAATACAATCTGACTATAGACACATACGAAAAATACATATAAATTATCACTCTATTGTACGCTACAGCCCTTCTAAGCAAGTAACCAAAATTTCACTCGGAGATTAAAATATGAAATTTCATGCTGAAAGTTAACAGCTGTAATTGATTTATTCTGATTTTATTCCAACTCAAATAATCTCCCCTCAAAAATCAGAGCAAATCTGATTGTTAGTCCATCTTAGTTGAAAAACTGAACTTGGAGCTGTTAAAACTAAGGTTCAATTCCAACAGGCATTCCCTGTTGGAATTAAAACGAAAACTTATAAAAATGTCCTCAAAATGTTAATCTTCCTCGTGAAAAGTTTAGCGGCATAGTGATGGATCTGAGAAACATAACAGATGTTTGCAACATTAGGAATTATAAGGAATCGTCTTCTTTATTTCAGATGAGATTAAAAGTTATTCAATAGATATAAACAGACTGAACTAGTTTAATTCACACAAAAAGCGATGTGAACTCAACTGTTATCTATCAAAGTGTCACTCAAAAATGTTACGAGTTTTCTGCAAATTATGTTGTCATTGTCATCATCATCGTCATCTTAATAAATATGAGGGGCTCTGAAAAATTTTCGACTAAGAAACCCGGCTCCAAAACTTTGATGCTTCGTCAGATTTTTGAAATCTCTCGGGACAAGAATATTTCAGACCCAGTCTCGAAAATTAACAATGGTGACAAAAGCTGCTGTTCCTGGTGTCTCTCTTATTTAAAAAAAATGAGAAATCAATTTTCCTGGAATTTATCTCCACTTACTTTAGAAATACTTTCTCGGCTATATTTTCTAATCGTTCTAACAAGTTGGCTGACAATATATATATATAATGTACTCTATTAACCATTATCCTTATAAAGTCTCCGACTTTATCAATGACTATCAATGCTTACGATGACGATTTCCATTCACAATACGACTGTTATTGCTGCTGCTACTACATACATATAAACGATTTTTGTTACTTATTTTATTTGTTTCCTAACTTTACTTACAATATGCAGTTTTTTTATTTTTCCTGAATTGATCTTCTTATTCGTAACTTGAATTTAAAAGTTTTAAAAAAAATGAAGTGAAATGAAAATTTAAATAAAACAAGATCATAATCATAAAATAAAAATAAATTTATTGAGTGAATATTTTTCTTTCAAATGAATGCTAAGAACCTGTAAATATTTATTTCATTTAGTAAAGACAAAGTTGAAAAAGTATAATTCAAAAGGATTCAATTTATATCAGTGCCAAACTAATTATTGTCGCCGATGTTACAAATATCATTGTTAATGCCAGTATCATAATTAGCGATTCTATATCTTTATTATTATTAGTAGTAGTAGTAATAGAGTCGTAGTAGTAGTAGTAGTTTGTACTCGTTGAGTTTCTGCATTAACAGTACTTGATGGAATTTGCTTTAGATCAAGTGACAGCAAGTTTCCTCGCTACTCTAGTATTCGCTATTGTAACTGATTTTAGTTATGCTGTCATCTGGATGGTTTGTGAATTATTATTATTGTATTACACCACCCCACTCCTCCTCACCCTTCTCATCTGTTTTGACCCTATTTACATCTTGAAAATACGAACCGCCGTATGTTGGTTGGTTTGGACGTCATTTGAAGCACCTTCACATACTTTAGAAATAAAGCTCAGATTTATTAAAATCATTATAGCACAACGATGAAAAAATATTGCAATTATAATAACAATTTGTTATTTTTATAAATCTCTATTTCACCATCACAAATACGAGCCATTTGTTTTCGAATTTAACAAATTTGTAAGTAAATAGTCTAAAAAAGTGTAATAGTTTTGTAAAGGTCCCTCAGCTCCCGACATCCTGAGACAGGTAGACTCCAAACACTAGCTTCGTGTTTTTATTGTTGTTTTTGTCTTTATGTTTTTTGTTTCGTCTCCACTGTCCGTGTATGTATTAGCTTTAGTTTTGCTCAGAACTTAGGATATTAAGATGTGTATCTTTTTCAAGCTATCGAAAATAATTATTCCTTTGGCAAAAAATGTGATAAACGTTTTTATTTTTATTTTTGTATCTTCCCGCCACTTATGTCCATTTTTAAATCTTTATCCTTCATATGGTTGATTTGAATAAATTAACCGTGATAATAGTTCGATATCTTATATTTACCTTCAAAAAAATCCTGGAAAAAATAAAAGATTAATGCAAAAGTGCGTAATTCTGTTTAAGTGTGCGTGTTTGTACATATTCGCTTAATAAACACACTTTACACAACTTTTGTATATGTATTCGTTCAACTTTGTTAATTTCGTCTACGTACACGCCCATATACGAAATGTACACATGTATGTATTAATCCACACTACAGACGCTGTGCTACGTAATTTTCTTTGGGAACATTTAGAAGATAAGAGAGTGCTAGAATAGAAATGGTATGTGCAAAATGTATGTTTGGGAGAGCGTGCGATTAGGACATACTTATACACATTGTATTCTGCGTGTGGATGTCTACAAAAATAAAAATATTAAAAGAAAATGAAAGACAGGAGGAAAGTAGGGAACTAAAGAAAAAGCAAATAAGTGTTTCCAATTCTAAGGAAGTTCAGAATTTGTAACAACAGTTAACATCAAGAATAGACGATGGATGGAGGAAAAGGAGGAGGTCGAGGACACTAGCGCCTCCCGTTTTTTCTCTCTCCCAGCCTTACTAATTCGTCAGGTCTGTTCTTGCTGATAGCTAAAACTTCAGTTCCTTCATCATCGCTAGAGTCGGCTGAAATCCCGACCCTCCCTATCTTAACTGTTCGACTAGCCCAACACTTTGCTTGATTTCTTCAAAGTCTGACTGAATGGTTATCACGAAGCAAGAAAAACATCTCTCGCAAGTTGCACTTACGCACTATACTGCGTTTTAAGTGCGTGAGTTTTACTTTTACCAAAAGTAAGATTTCTCACTTTAACGAAAGACTTGTACAACTGCGATAAAAAGTGGATCACAAAATAAGACGAATAAGGAAAAGAAAAAAAAAAACAGTATATAATTCATATTAGGATTATAAAGTTTTAACCAGAAAAGGGAGATGATGCTTTCAAAAAGTTTGGGAAGAATTATTTGTATGATTGTGTGTTATGCAAATGTAATTGAGTGCGTGTTACTGTTAATGGTTGTTTGACTTGTGTACAATAAAAGGGGGAAAACGAATACAAAAAGTGGGCAAATTTAAAAAATCAAGCGGACATCTCCCAAGATGTCATCATCGAAGCGACACAGCCAGCGATTTGAATCTTTGCCAAGTAGTTCAGCCGACAGTAATGACTGTCCCCCTGAGCTAACTTTGTCTCATCACCAGCCCCGACACCACCACTACCAACAACAGCAGCAGCAGCAACAACAACCACAGCGGTCGTCCACAGGGGACGCGGACATCGTACTTGTCGACAGTATTGGCAGGATGCGTGGTAGCAACGGTCTGTTATACGCCGGGGCCACAGGCACTACTTCTGTGCCTGGCAGTGGACGGCGAGAAAAAAGTGGCCGAAGTCCTGCAGGTTCAAAACCAAGTCACAGACACGGTAGTCATCACTCTAAAAATAGCAGCATGCTTCCCCCACCACCTGACCCTCCAGTATTAGACACGTCGGATTTGTCCACTTCTTCGGACAGTATAGGCAACGGTGGATATAGCAGTTTTCTAGGTTCTACGAACAATGGTCATTATCAGCGAGTACCCCAACCGTGCCCAGACCCCGACCCCATCGGTACGGTCGGTATGGGCGACATTACTGGGTCGCCGGACTACCTGGACTCAAATGACAATCAACAATTTGTGGATCATACCAGTTCCTGTTCTCCGGTTAATTCAGACAGTTGGGGTGATCCTAGCAAGATTCTGGACAGTCTACAAGCGGAAACGACGACCGGAGATGATACGGCGAGCAGTACTTCGGAATCGGATGTTACACAAATGTAAGTACCAGAAGCCTTTATTATTATTATTTATTACTTAGTAACAAACAAGTCAATTAGTGATATACGTGTAAAAGTTATGAAATGCCCACTCACATGTGCACGTATTTTTACAAAAAATAAAGTAAAATTAAAGTACATTCAATAATTCTACCTGTAGCATGCATACAAAAGTAAGATAACTGTAGTGTACTGTAAATGAATATATAGTCTGTAAAATAAACGTGTAAAAAAAGCATATACTTATAAAAACTTTACAAACAAGATTTTACACGTGAGCCAAGCATATTTTATAATGCATGTATAGTGTATATATTGCATGACGACAAAAGTATTTTAAAAGTTACTTTTTAAGTATATTCATGACGTGTAATTCTTCTTTCTTTCGAGTTTATTTACGTTGTCAAAACAATCGTATATATTTCATCAAAGTCAGAAATTTTATTTATATTGTTATTTCAAGTTTTTTATTCTTTTTATGGTCTGTTCTTTTGCAATTATTCAGTCGCTTGAAACAAAAAATACATTGTTGAATCTAAATTAAAGTTTTGGAAACAAAATAGGAGACTTTTCTCAGTAAAAGAAAAATAAATAAACAGCATATTACGTGAAATGATGGGTTAAATTTGAAATTTAATTGTTAAAGCATGGACATATTTTAAACTGCTTGAATAAATTTTAACATTGGAACATTCATAAAAACTTGAATAGTTACAAACTAAATTATCTGTCCACGTTATCTATCATACAATTTTTCTTACGTTGATGTTATTTAATTTGAGATAAAATGACTTTGATTCTGTTGTGGAAAAGATAGTTACGTATTTTAAGTATAGTTTGTTATTGTGTCTTATTCAATTTCAAAAACTCTCTAATGAGAGTAAAACTTTTAGAAAAAGCTGTATTCTGAATATTAGGTCAGTTAAAAAAAGATTTTCGTTGCATCGATTAGTTGTACAATGGGCTGTAACTTCCCCGGTGATGTTATGTTGATGATGTGCCATGTGTAGGCACAGCTAACTAAATGCTATGAAATTCTCCAAATCAAACACGTGTTCGTCTTCTAATCGAATAACTAAAAAATGTTTCAGGGTTCCGGTTACTTCTATCGACAGAAGAACGAGCCATCTCTTGAAGAGTTAAGAAGAAGATAATTGTAAGAAGAATGTCTGCCTGTGTGTGTGTGTGCGCGCGCGTGTGCGCGCGCGTGTGTGTGCATGTGTGCGTGTGTGCGCGTTTAGTTCTAGACACAAAAGGACTTAACCAAAGTGATATGTTCGCCAAATCCATTTGGTGTACATAAATAGAAAATAGAGAAACAGTTTACAAAGCAATATATTTTGATTTTTTAGTCTTATTTACATGTCCGTTGTTCAGCCATGGTTAAGTTAAGCTTGTCTCTTAAAAAATTCAATCGTGTTGCTTATGAGTTTGATTGATTATCATTGAGTGAGTGAGTGTCATCACTGAATAAGTGGGAGTTTGCACCAGACATGGTTAACGTTTTTGTATTTTTTTTTAAATGGGATCATTTGATCGCCTTTCTAAATTGTAAATACTTTAAGGGTCACGTCACTAATTTCGGCCATCAACTTGTATGTATGTGTGCGTGTGTATACATTCATTAGTGACAAAATAATATATGTTTCTGTTGTATTTATTATATACGAAAGAATGTATGGTCGTTAAAATGCTTGTACACGCGCGTGCACAAACACACAAACGCACGCAAGAAGACGACAACAGTTCTATATATTAGTGTACCGGTTTATTTATTGGTGTGCTTAGAATATGTTTGTATACGTGTGTATTTATGTTTAAACTTCTTAACTGATGTTCATCATATAATTTACACAATTTACTCAGAGTGATTTTTATTTTTGGTTGATACATTTATCAGCCTAAGAGAACGAACAATACTACCTAGTGGCTATAGTGGCTGCGTATTAAAAACAACCCAACACCATAAAAATACTGTTAGAAATCTCAATAAAATTTGCGTGACTTCAAAATCGCGTTCTTTGTAATGTCATACAATTATTATTATTTCTTTCTCTATGTCGGCCTTATTATTCTTGAAAGCATTTTAATAAAAAGGAAAAGGCTCTAGGTTGAAATTTTTCGTGAAGCTTCCAAGAAAGCTCTGATTCAAAACAAGATAAGGTACCAAAAGAAGAGCGAATATTTTCTGCAACATTTCAACATAGATTCATTTTCAGAGGAATAAAAACATGTAAAAAGAATTTTTCATCTTCTTGACAGAAAAATATGTTAGTAAATATTTAACAATAAAGAAGAGAGATTTCATTACTGATCTTTGTTGTAATTAATACTTTGTTCTTAAATGCTACCAATAAGACATTCGTATGCCAATTCACTTCTCTGTGTGCGTGTGTGTAAGGAAGCGATTGAAAGTCTAACGTCAACTTTTGTAATACACAATTACACATCCGTTATAAACCCTAAATGCTCCCTATATAAACAAACAAATAAAATCTTCCTTCATTCTTTTGACACTTTCCCAAAAGATCCAAATTTTGAAACACATCAACTGTCGACTCAAGATTTAAATAAGCAGTGACCCTTAAAACTAAATGAAAATCATCTATAGAATCATAGATGTTTTACACGCATATAGACGAATATTTCGTATCGTTTTGAATTTAATCGAATACACGATAAATTGTGATAATCTATTGGATAATCAAACAAACAAAAAAAATTAAAAAAACATCCGTCTTTACGTGATGAGCATCAACACTTACCCTCCCAACAACTAGTTGTGCTGCTACTTTAGAAATATTAAGTTAATATCGAGCGAGATATACATAACCACTGAATGTAAAACATCTTTTGACGAGCAATCTTTGATATCAAAATCGCATTGACTGACCATAGCAAGATTTTATTTCATTTTTCATTCACATTATCTTTTTTAATCTTTTAAAAAACAATTAATCATGATTACTTTTTAAAATGTTTAGTTGGAGCTTTGCTTAGTTTTTTTGTAACTTTAGTTTTAGTGAATATTCTTCTAGTTTTTTGATAGTCAAACTATATAGCAAAGTTTGTTAAGACAAATAAAACAAAAATAATTACTTTGTCTTTTTATTAGTTTAGTTTAGTATGTTTAATTGTACGAAGAAGAAACTGTTAAATTGTGCTAAAATTGTAACTACATAGACTACAAGATATTATTGCTAAATACTGATTCTTACAACTAGCAACCACTTATCAGCATACATGATTGGAAGATAAGGTAACACACCGAAAAGTTTTTTTGTCAAATGACATCACTCTGACATCATAAGGTGGGTTAGTTCCGTGTTCGAAGAAGCTTAAAAGTCTGTCACATACACACATGCGTGCGCGTGTACGCACACAGACACACACACACACACACACTCTCTCTCTCTCCCTCTCCCTCTCTCTCTCTCTCCATTTATACAGAATAGATTAGTTTTTTCATCATTTTAGCCCAAGAAAGGCAACAAGGTCACTAAGACTCATGTGGGTTAGTGAATATGAAAGAATATACGAAAAAGAAAAACAATAAAAGAACAGAAATTAAGAGAAGATAATGAATGACATTGCGTAGATCTATTATGTAGGTATTGATGATTTTACGAATTATTAGAATGCGGATATTGATGAGGTACTATAGGAAGATTATCTCTTCCAATTAATAAATGCCTTGCTTGCCTAAAAAACACCATTCGAATCATGTCTTTGAAACTGGTGCAAACTTTGAATATTCTTTTAACTCTATAAATATTAAACGGGAATAGTGACATCGATTTATTTTCAGAAACGTTTCACTTTATTTAGGATGGTGAAGAGATGAAGTGAAGTATTTTATGTGCTGAATGAAAGTCGGTGAGTTTTGTGTACAAACTATTTTTAGTTGAATCTATAAAAACTAACAATTTTAGCGGATGACGCAATTCGTCTATCGCAACATGCAAATCACTTCCGTTTGACAAGATAAGAGGAAATTAACATTTTCAAATTATGAAAAATATTAAAATAAAGATAGATAGATAGCTAGCTAGATAGATAGATAGATAGATAGACCCCTGTATCATGGTTGACATAGGAATTCCCTATGGCCTAACAGTAGCAGAAAGCAGTGTTCTAAACCAGGTAAAATTTAAGACTCGAATACTAATTTTCAAGATAAACGAACCTTCCACTTGGGAAAATAGCATAATTATCTTTCTATTCTCATTTCTCTATTTAGTCCTGTACCGTACCAAGCTAAACTTAATAAATTTCGATGCATATTTTCAAAAAGGGTAAAACTGCCTAAGAAATACATCGCTATATCTCATACGTAGCAAAACAATTGCGTCCATGAACACAATTAATGTGCGTGCGTGCGTGCGTGCGTGCGTGCGTGCGTGCGTGCGTGTGTACGTACGTGTGCAACCGCGGTAGACATTCCTTTTCAATGGTTCTTGTGAAGCGTTGTCGATGTTTACTAATAAATCCGCCACGTGGTTTGAGAAACTGTTGTAGATAATCTCTATAAATAGATGGAAACAAAATGACGCGCATGTAGCTGAGTAATAACAAGCAGCTCGAGAATTGACATGTCTCTTAAGTGATGAGTAAGTGGTGTGGGTTTTATTTAATGACCTGAACTAATAAAAATGTGCACTTTATTTCATGCTGTTTAGTATTTAGTTTACAATATCCAGTTGTCATCAAAATTTTAATCGCATTTACTAACTCATTTTTTATTGTTTTTTACAAGTTAAATTTTTAATGTGAACTATTTTGATTCAAATACAATTTCGCTTCATGTTGTCGAACATGATTTACATAACAGTCATAAGCTTTACTCCATGTTCATCTAAGAAGAAACTAAAAAAAAGGCGGAAAATCATTTTTGTTACAATTAAAAACAAATGCAAAGTCGTTTAAATAAAACTGGCTTCATGGTAAATAAAATAAAGAATATTTTGTTAATTTTTATGTAGTTTCTAATGTTTTCGTACACGG